CTTCAACATCTTTCTGTAGTGTGCTGTTCCCCACCCCATTGTTTAGTGCCTGAACTTAGCATAGGGATTGGGTATACTTGAAATGTTGGTTAGTTTACAATTCATGTGTCATGTGAAAGAACCCAACAGGTTTACTTTTCAAAGGCTTACTTTACCTGCTTTCTAATTCAGAAGACAGCAAAAACAGCAGTAGCATTTCAGAAATGAATGTTTATCTATAGCAGTTCATTAATTTGTTTGACTTTTAGATACCACCATGTTCTAGTATGGGATAACTCTTTTGCAGTTGAAAAAAAAGCCTGCCTGAGAAGAAATCAAATTTTTAAATAAAAGACAAGCAGTCTGAGGATCTCCAGATATTTGGGACTTCAACTGCCATAGCCCAGCCAGCATGACTATATTATTAGTACTGAGAAGTACTGAGAAAAATGTAATACTGTATCGAATATCTGCAGAGCACAACATGGCCTAACCATCAGGTATCATTTGTCCTCTTTCCGCTGGCTACAATAGCTTGTTAAGTAAGAATATAATTTTGTTCTCCTTCTTATTCCATTTTTTCTTGAGGGGCATGTAGGAGGAAGAATACACGTACAAGTACCCCTTTTGAATATGATGGATGTGCAATTTTTTGATTTAAAAGTCTTCCTATTTGGAATAACTTTGTAGTGGCCAACATTTCAGAGTAATAGCAACATGGTTATTTCAGCATTCTGCACATAGTGCAGTGTGTAAAAAACCCTTCATACCCAATACATATTCTGTCTGTCAAAGGAGACTAATTATTTCTTTGTGCTTATTTCATTATGTGTTTGCACTAGATATTGAGAAACTTTTACAGCCCAGTATTGAGTAAGATTTCAAGAACCATATTCCAGTGTTGATACAGGAAAGTTAAAGCAGATAGAGTCCAATAAATAAAACCCACATCCAAAATAAGGAAGGATGCCTGTTGCAAATATCTTTCCCCTGCATGCTTTCTTAGAAGTAAACAAATCACTGGTTGCATAAACCTTTCCCTTGCATGGTACCTTGAGTAGGTAAGGTTATCAGTTGAACAGGTTTCTTTGCAAGCCTATTCAGAAGAGATTCTCACAGGTTTTAATGCGGCTTGTTTTCAGATAGGCATGTGTAAGACTGCAGCCGTACAAAGAATATAGCAGCAGGCCTTTCCAACTCTCCTCTCTGTATCCTATTTAAACCATGAAAGCATTCTGTTTTGGTAGAATGTTGGGATAAATTATTCTTTGCACACTGCAATCCTCTATGTGCCTATTCAGATACAAGCCCAATTAAATTTAACAAGGCTTATTCCTAGGTAGCTTCCAACCTTAAACAGAATTAATCAATACAGTACAAACAGAAGCAGCAGTTGCTGAAAAAGAGACATTTCTCCACCTCCAGTTGTTGGCTATTTGATTATACTATTAAACAAAATATCATCATGAAAACCACACTTCTATTTGCATCTCAAATTGCACATATCAGAACTCACATAATTCTGTTCTGTTCCTAGCCTTTTGTCAAGCAAATAATGAATAGCAATCCTTCAACTGCAGATGATAGGCAGTTGGCTAAGGCTGTTAATTTACCGTTCCCCAATTTACTTTGTCCTTAATTTCTGAAAAAATGTAATACCGCTGCTCAGAGTGCAATGCCGACTACTTAGTCATTAAGCAAGGTGACTCCACACTATGATACAGAATTCTTTTGAGTTTATGGAACTTGAGGAAGTAGATAGGGTTTGCCACTTGTGAGCTGAATCCATCCCCAACCTGAATCCTTTGGCCAGCCAAAGAGGTGTCCATGGCTGGGATCAGGAGATAATCAGTGCCTCTCCAAGGAAGAATGAAGTGCCACCTGCCTTTTAGCCATATTAGAAGGATTCCTGGTCTCTAACCTTCCTTTTCTGGGGAAGATTGATGGAAAATCAACCACAGGTTGAAAGAGACTAGATTGGAAGAAACATGTTCAGATTAGAAAGACAGAGGTGCTGCACATCCATAAATATCTAGGCTTTCCAGAAATATTAATTCTAGTATTAGCTCTCAACAGGGTTATGCTCCCACTAAAGGACCAAGTCAATGACTTGGAGGTTCATCTGAAGCTGCAGCTCCTGCTTGAAGAATACTGTAGATAGAGGCTGTGGATAGATGAGCTTTTGCTCAGCTTTGGCTAGTGTGCCAGTTACAGTTCTAGCTGGCTCAGAAAGCTTTGGCAATAGTAACTCATGCTCTTATCACTCTAGACTGCTGGCAGGTCAAACCTATTACTGCAGGAAAATCTCCATTTTGCAGTTGCTATACTGGGTCCAATAGCCACGTGCTGGTTATCATCTATGCAGCACAACACTGGGTTTCATTAGTGACTGCCTTATCCAGAATTATTCTGCCCAGCCTTTGAGATTATCTAGAAAGGGCCTGCTGAAGTCTTATCTCCATTAGAGGAGTTTGGGGCCAGAAGGCAGAACAACTATTCTGTGGTTGATCCACTTCTGCCGCCAGAAGTGTTCTTGACTTCTTGGCTGTCGTAATTCTGGGAGGAACTGAAGATACTTCCTTTTAAGCAAGCATTTGATGCTTAAGTCCAGTGATGTCTTGGTGGCTTTTGTTGGTTATATTCTGTTGTTTTTATGTTAGGCTGGTTGGTGGGTTGTATGGGAGTTTGGCTGAGAGGACAGTGTCAAAGATGTTTATTAATTTTTAAAATTATTATTTAGCAAATTTATATAGCTGCCCATCTCATAGAACGTGACTCTGGGTGGCGTACGACCACAGTGACGATTAAAATAGTATAACCATCATTAAAACCATCATTAAAGCTAAAGTACAAGTAAAACTAAAAACATAGAAAAATCAATATTGCAGAAGAATACCAATCAATTCACATAATACAACCACCTTGCAGGCTCCCCTTGCGATCCCCAAGGTTCCTGGAAAAACACATTTTAAGGACTTTCTGGATGGAGCTAACCTCACCTTGGGGAGAGTGATGTCCAGATGGTGGGAGCCACAGCAGAGAAGGCATGTCTTCTGGGTCCTGTCAGAACTCCTTAGCAGACAGGGCCCGCAGCATTACTCCTACTGCTGGACCAGATGGGATGGGTAAATGTAATTGGGAAGAGGCAGTCCCTCAGATAAGCTGTTCCTATGCCACGTAGGGCTTTAAAGGAGCACCTTGAATTGCACCTGGAAGCAGACTGGCAGCCAGTGCCACTTGCAGAGCAAAGAGCAAAACATGCGCCATCCTATGGGAACACATAACTGTCTGCACAGCCGCACTCTGCTCCAGCTGAAGTTTCTGGATGCTCTTCAAGGGCAGCCCCATGTACAGGGTGTTACAGTAATCCACTCTGATCTATTACATAGGAAGAAGATAAATTCCGTTGATAAAGTGGGCATCAAATGGACATGCCCAGAAGAAGCCTTCTATACAGGCATGGAAAAAGAGCAGTCAGAGTTTGAAAATAAGTTTTTTGAGTACAGATGGTTGGGACTTAAGATTCTTCAGGGGTAAGATTTGCTCTGGGACTACATTTTGAAAAACATGGCTCTTTGCAAGATATGCCATTTGTAGGATCAAGCATTTTTAAACACTGCTGTAATGCATCCAATGAGTATGTAGCAACATAGCGGGAACAGAGAGTGTTGTGATCAGGCCCTTAAGCGTTAAGTAGAAAAATTAATACAATTTGGTAAGACCTACAGGTAGTCCTTGCTTAACGACGGTCATTGGGACTGGAATTTCCATTGCTAAGCAGTGCAGTCGTAAACTGCGACATCATGTGATCGCATCGCCTAGTGATGGCAATCCCAGCAGTTCCCATTGCTGTCATTAAGTGAAAATTGCAGGTCATGAAGCAAGTACCTCACGTGACCACGACTTGCAACTTCCTGCTGGCTTCCTACAAGCAAAGTCAGTGGGGAAGCCAGCTGTAAGTTGCAAGTCCTGGGTGGCTCACAAGCAGGCTGAAGGGCGGGTGAGTACTACGGAGTGAGGCAGGGGTGCTGTGGCACTGCATGAGTGCATGCAGGCAGGGGTGCTGCACAAGTACACACGAGCTGGCGACGGGGTGCTGCAGCATGAGCGTGCTACGGAGTATGAGATCCCTGGGATCTCATACTCCATAGGGGGCTCCTCGGGAGAAAAAGTGGTGGAAGCAACTTGTAACCTTCCCTGCCAGCTTTCCCATTGACTTCGCTTGTGGGTAGCCAGCAGGGAAGGTCGCAAATGGTGATCATGTGATTATGGTAGACTGCAGCCATCATAAATTTGAGCCGGTTGACAAGCACCCAGATTGCAATCATATGACCATGGGGGTGGTGCAATGGTCAGAACTTCAAGGACTAGTCCTAAGTGCCACTCGTTCAGCATTATTGCAACTTCAAACAGTCGCTAAACAAGTGGTCATTAACCAAGGACTACCTGTATTATCCTACCAGCCCCCAAATAGCATACAAGTGAATGGCACTGAATATGAATATCGATGTACAATTCATGGGTTATCTGTAGAAAGTAGAAATGTAAGAAGCTTCTCCTGATTGTATGGAAAAATGCTATAGAGGAATATTTTGTGTATGTTTTAATAAGTTACTGCTTGGTAAATGAGCACCTGTATTCACTATGTGTTTACTACACACTGAATAGTTAACATATTAATATTGCTGAATACTATAACCTGCTGAACTCTGCTACTTGCCTCAAGGGACAGGACTGAGAAATGGAAGGCAGAATGGTTGGAAGTCAACAGAGCAGTGCCCAAGTTACCACAAATCATAGGTTGGTCTGGCACTGTATGTTTCTGATCAAAGCATGTGTCTTATCAAGAGCCTTCTGCAGACATGTGTACACAACGTATAGGCCTGCAGCTGTCTTACCATAGTAATTTTTCATTTATTACAAAATTCTTACCCACAAAAAAAGTTTAAAACTAAGAGTTCTAAAAAGAGTTCATCTTCCATACACAAAATAATCACAGATTCCCATATACTTTTATTTTATATAGAAATAGGTTGGGGTTTTGGTTTTTTAATTACTACTTTTTTTACACTACTTACTCTATAATAACATAAAATCTCTCTTAGAAACATTAACATAAAGCATACAAAGTGCAACGCTTTAAGGAAAATTCCATCCTAAATATAATCATGAAATAGATATGTAATATAGTTGCAGCATTTTATCATGTAATGGGCTGTAGCACAGTGCATATTCTTCAGATGCTTGTTCTGTGACTAGTGAAGGAAATCTTCCATTATGAGAAAAAAATATATTTAAAGAGTTGGAACATATGACTGTATCTTGGAATAAATAGCTGCATGATTGTGCTTAGGTTAACTGTTTATACTACGCTAAATGAATAGGAAGCTGTCCATTGTAATTTCTTGACAGTAGTAACAGTGGGTGGGGTGAGGATAACAAGTTTAATATTTGCAGTTTATGAGTCCGAAGGGTATACAGACTAAAGATTTGTTGATTGTTCTAAATAAATGACAACGTGTTGTATCTCACTGGTTGTTTGGCCACTGAAACAGGAATTTTCCTAATTGAAAGTGCCAAGTTATGCTCTTTGTGCAGTTGTGCAAAACAATTAACAATTAACCATAATAAAAATAATATCTTTCTCAGTATATCTTCTGAACCAGTGGTTTTCATTTTAAATGATCAAAATAGTGAAAGCCAAGTATTTTTTCCCACCTTTTTTGTTTGATTTTTTTTTAGAAGAGAACACTTCCTGATCAAAATATTTAGCTGAATCTTCTACAAACATGTACCAGTTAGTGCCCCAGTTCAAACGTGGTGGTACATATTAGTATTAGTGGTCATTATTGCTGAACAATGTTTTAGATTCCATCTACAGAAGGTGTTTGGCATATGCGTAGCAAGTGCCAGCAAAATCTTAAAGTAGCTGTATCTTTCCTGGGAAAAGACACAGCTGCTTTGAGATGTTGTAGATGGTTATTTCACTCTTTGTAGATGGAATCTAAAACACAGTCTTACTATTTCATAACATAACCACAAAATAGTGCAAATACCTGCAAAATGATCCCATTCCATTTTATTGCACTATCTTACCAAGTTCCTAGTATACTTTATAACACAAACATTCCCCTCCCACTAGTTAAAGCTAAATGTGCATTGACAGAGAAGGCAGAGTCTATTGCCGGTGTTGCACATTTAAAGATTCAGACAAGCTCAGGGTACTTCTGGCAGCAGCAGGTTGGTGCTTCACTGGCATGTGGTGGTACTCTATACCTCCTTCCGGTAGAGAGTAGGTAGGCAAGAGCAGAGAATCTGCTTGTTCACTGTGCAAAGAGTCTGCTGGCTGTACCTATATACAGGAAACAAAATGTAATGCAATCAAAAATGGTTCAACAAGTCAAAAATAGTAAATTCAGTTTTTACTGAAAAATATTGTGTGATTATTACCTATTTGAATATACTAATCATTTGCTGCAATTATGGACCAAAGGCTTAATCAAACTGGAATTCTTTGATTTACTCAAAGGCTTATTTATTTGGATAGTAATCAGGGAATATGACTTTTTTTAAAACCAATGTCATCAAGGATTCTCTCTTAATTTTCTATTTGACATAGTTTTCTATTATATTTTGCAACAGCTCCAACCTTTATATGACAACCTTGTTTGGCATCAATATTTTACTTTAATCGCATATTTCAATGCATGTTCATTAGAAAATCAGTCCAACTGAGTTCATTGGGACTTACGACTTGTATCGCACATTACAAACTTCAAACATGTTATAAAATTGAGTGTGTTTTATGTCCTGCGATTGACAGCATCTGTTAATAGATTTTATTACTGATAAGGTGGGTTCATATGATCTCCTATTTCAAGTTCATCATGAAAAAAAAATGACTTCTTTTAAGTGGCAGCTATAAAATCAAAAGCAATCAATGTCAAGTCATCATTCAGGGAGTTCCTATGTAACAAAAGGAAAAAACAAAAGGAACAAGGAAGTTATTAGGATTTGTAAAACAAAAGGAACTCCACTTGACAAAGACAATGTGCTAAAGTCAGATTTAGAAATAACGACCCTGTGTACCACTGCACATTTTCCTGCACAATCATATTAAAACAGTTTGTTCCAGATAACATATTGATGCTTGTGTGATGTACATAAAATATGAACCATTTTTTCCATTCTTACAGTACAGAAGCTGTAACTGACAAACAGTTAGCTTCCTCCTTAATACTCCATGCTATGTTTGGAAACATTTGAAATGTGTCTAATAGAGAATGCTGTTCTTTTTACTCTGATGCTAAAATTCTGAACTGTTAGGAGAACACTGTAACATAATGTAGTTCAAAATGAAACTATTTTAAACAGCTGAAATTTGATTAAGTATAAAACAGAGATAGTTTAAATAGCAGGAACCCATAAAACAAAATACAAAGTACAGTAATACCTCGGTTCATGAACGCTTCTGTTCACGAACAATTCAGTTCACAAACAGCACCGTTCGCAAAATTTTGCTTCCGTTCGCAAACTCCGCATCGGGTGACGAACACGAC